AGATGTATCTATATGACGTGGGAGGCTCCATCACGATCGGAGCGGGGTTTGGGTCTTGACAAGTTGGTATCAGAGCCTAGGTTACTACGTCTCACGAGTCAAGAGCAGGTTTAGTAGAGTCTCGCGGATCAGTACAGAGACGTCTGTATTTATCCTCGAGAGGCTGAGGAACCTTTAGGAAAACTTTACATTCTTGAATTATTATCGTGCGTCCTTGATTCGGCTTGAAAAGTAACTCTTGAAATTCCTTCCACGTGTTCGTATGCTCGCATGAGCGCTCAGTATCAGATGTGCCTTGATGGCTTGTGATTCACGATCGAGGGGCGAGATGTGATCTCTGTGAGTTGATGTTGGGCTAGTCTGGAGGACTTGAGGCCGGATCTTTGCCTATGGCTTGAGCACCGAGGTGTTGATTGTGTGAGCAAGTATTTTGAACTTTTATGTTCGGTAGTGTCCCCGTTAGTGGAAGTGACGGTCGTGGCAATGTGATGAGTATGTTAGTACTGCGGGATGTATCTATATGATGTGGGAGTGACAAGAAAGGCCTGATGAAGGATAGAGGAACTATTAGGTGCTGGAATTCCATCTTGATTTGAGGTACAACCCCGAGTGATGGGCGTATGAAGGATCTTTTCATGTTTCCCAGTTGAGAGTGAAGTAAAAATTTTATTTTGCGGTACGAGTTTAGACTTAGGAAGACTAAGTGACTGCGTACAGTTTATGACGGTGGAAGGTATACAGAAATGTTAATTGAAGGCAAATTGGGTGGGGTATCTCCTACGAAAATTCTGGAGTTGTGTGACCCTTATGTGACTGTTAGAAGATCCCATGTGCTAGTGAAATGTAAGTGTTGAAATTTGAATTTTGGGTCGCTTAAGAGAGTGGGCTTAACTGTTGCGAGATTTACCGAAGATTTAAAGTACTAGATGATTTGTGTTTACACAAGCTTACAAAGGATTTGAGTTTAATCTTACTATGGTATTGTGGCATCAATAGAGTATAAGTGTTATGAGTTATTGAGTGTATCTTGATCTATGGCTTCGAGCCAAGTGGGGGAGTCTGCTGTGAGCAGTCGATTGCACGGTTAGGTGCTATGTTGGTTCCAGTTTGGGGCGTGCGAGTGAATTAGCTATGGCTAGAGTAAAGGAAATTTTGACAAAGGTTATATTTTGCTTCATAGGGTATGAGAATCACGGAACGTCTAGAGTGTTGTTGGTAAAGAATGCTCGGCGCATATAGCAGGAAGTTGCTTTGTTGTATTGGGATGAGGATTTCATTTTGCGGTATCGGAGTGCCAATGAGGCACGGGTGGTTCTGTTCGTTAGGTCAGGTAAGTTGCAATTTGGATAAGAGCGAATGACTTGTGAGGATGGCTCTAATATGTTCAAGATTCTACAGGGAACAATCGGGTATTTTAAAGTTGCATGTGTGGTTAGAAACTGTGCTTTCATTGGAAGAGGTTCAGATTTGTGGTATTTCTATGTTAAATATAGGGTTCTATGTATCAGTATCAGGAAAGTAAAGGTAATGGATTTAGATTCGTAGGCAGTTCTGCAGAGTAAAGTAATCTGGAATGTGGTGTTTCGGGGAATATTTAAGGGAGTATTCAGCGGTTTATGGGTTTCGGACAGTGTGGTTTTATACTTGGGTCTCGCGTGGTAGGCCTCGGGTTGAGGAATTGTGGTGCTACAGCAAGAAGGAATACCAAGTTGAAGATGAATCAGAAGGAAATTTAGATGGATGGAGTAGCTTGATAGTAGACCGGATCGGTATGGTAAGGATATGATTAAATCTTTGTGTGTGTTCAAGGTAATGAATTCGTACAAGTATTTCGTAGCAATGCTCTTGGGTTTAGACGGCTTGCTTAGCTTGGTCTAGTTAGAAGGATTTAGTCCTGGCGGTCTAGTTTGTGCAAATAGAATTGAGGGTTCTTGTTGATTTCTACCGTGGTTGGAGATGTGTATTTTCTACGAGTGTGAGAAGCATGGGATGTGTAATGATTTTTCTTCTAGATGGGATCAATGGAAGTTCTTGGCTAGATGAGTTACAGTTCAGTTCTGAAAGGAAGTTCATAAAACCCTTAGGCAACGGGTAGCCTCAGATGATTAAGAAAATGGTACTGCTAATTGGAAATGATTTGGTGAGAGTCTATGTTTCAGAAAAAGGGCAATGTGATTAAATTGATGGCACTTCGGTAGTATTGCGACACCTTCTTGTTAGATCGACTAGTGGTATTCGGGTTTGCTTGGTGGCACGGCGAAATTTTAGAGTATCTATCATGGAATGATTGGGTATTAAAGGTGTGGCATATATTCGGACGGAGAAATTAGGAAAGGATATGGTGATTCATGTGCCATGTGGATTTGGAGACGGAAGTTCTCATATTCAGGCTACGTCGTGGTTGTAGATCGCATGTATCGGCACTGTTTAGTGACTACCGAGATTTGGAGACCCGAGTGTATCTTTCTTTGTTTGGTATGTTAGATTTTGGATATGATATTGGGGTCTAGACTGGTTGTCTCCGTGTGGGATTATTCTGGACTATTGCGCTGTGGGCTATGCCGGAAATGCCACGGGTTAAGTGGCGTGGTGCGTCGGATTATGTTCTAGTATTGTTCGAAGAACCAGCGGTCGCCTGGGAAGGATTGCCTTTCTTAATTGGGCCTTCATGATGGATGTCAGTGTGGAGGTTGCTATCATTGATTTAGTTCCGGTGTTGAGGGACTTTTCGGATGCATATGCCGGGCAAGGTTGTTGATTTCGGTATTGATTTGGTGCCGGGCACCGTATCGTAGGGCACCGGCTGAGTTGAGGTATTGTGAGGACAGCTTCAGGATTTCCTTAATAAAGAGTTCGTTGGCAGGCCAATGTGGAAGCGTGTTCTAGCTTGAGTTGGCTTGGTTGGCCCCGAATCGTATTGTTGAGGGATAGGTTGATTCGATCGTTATTGAGATTGCTAGTGATCTAGGAGATCTATAAGTGGCCTTTCTGTGTTGTGAGACGTTACGATTTGTTGGTTATGGGCACATATGGTGCGGTTCTATTGGAGGTTCATAGTGGAAGTCGAGCGGAAAGAGTAATTGGGTATTGCTCGGTGGATGGCGTATCGGTTATGTCCTATCGGGTTTGTGTAGTATGTGTTACTTGTTCACCGTGGGTATAATGATTTGTTTTGGTTCCAGACATCAAATTGTGCGTGGTTGTCAATTTCGAGCATAGTGACTTGAGGTGTCCCATGTGAAGCAGTGTTTGGATAGGATCGCGCATTGCCGCGAAGCTATGACCTTGCGGGTTAGATTCGTGTGTTCTATTCTATGATGTAAGACGGGTTCTCAGCCTTGTGTTGTGATGGTACCGGCGAGCTTGAGGTACAAATCTTTCAATTGAGTAATTTTCATGATTTGAGTATGTTCGGACGGTTGCTTATTGGTGCACGTAGTTATGCAAGTTGTGGCTTAGGCCCGTATTGATGTGTCATGTCACCAGGGTGGTGTTTTTGGTCAGAAGAGATCGTAGGGATCATTAATAAATACAAACAGATTCGATTTCAGCATGTTTGATGGGTAAATATCGAGGTTCGGTTCAAAATTTGCTATGGTAATCGCCAGAGGAGAAACGACCTCATGAATGGTTGATCTGAGGAATGGATATGGTTTATTGCGTGTTTCAATTATCGTTGGCAGTATATGGAAGTGTTGGAATGAGACTTTAGCTGATAACAGGTTCTCTATCGGTGTTTGGTTGCCGTGGCCAGCTGCTGCGAATGGAAGTTATCGTTGCATGTGTTTGAGCTATGTGGTATATCATATAATTGCACCTGAGGTTGCAGGAATGGGCTATTAGTTTTGAGGTTTTGATCACATTGATGGTTCCAGGAGTGAAAGTGTGGTTCTATGATTCAGGCGCTAGATTGGGTTGTGTAATTTCAGTTTCTATGTGTTATCGGACCTATATGAGATAGGGTGACGTGGGATCACCCCCGGGTATATGCATGGTAAGGTTATTTAGAGATTGGTTGGCTTTTAGAATAACTCCAGGTACGTTCGAGGACGAACGTGTGTTTAAGTGGGGGAGGATGTAACGACCCGACCGGTCGTTTTGAGCTTTTGCACTCTGATCGCCAGTTCTCGGGCATTGCCCCGTATGATGTGTTATGACTGATGTAAATCGTTGGTTTTGGTTTCTCGAAAATCGGATGAATTTGAAAGAACAGTCTCAGTTGAAAGCTTTGAATTTGAAAGGTTTGACCAAGAGTTGACTTATTGGTATATGAGCTCGAATCGGAACTTTTATGATTTGGTTAGGTTTTTGGGGTGATTTATGACCTGGGAGTGTGATCGGAATTGGTTTTGGAGGTCCGATGTGAAATTTGGCTTGAATTGGCAAAGTTAGTATCTTGGCGATTTCCGGTTGATAGGTGAGATTTTGATCTGAGGGTCGGAATAGAATTCCGAGAGTTGCTGTAGCTTCGTTATGTGATTTGGGATGTGTGTGCAAAATTTCAGGTCATTCGGACGTGGTTTGGTTGGATTTTAGATCAAAAGCGTGTTTCGGAAGTTTTTGGAAAACTTAAGCTTGAATTCGATGTGAATTGATGGTTTTGGTGTTGTGTGAGGTGTTTTGATGATTGGAACAAGTTTGAATGAGGTTTTAGGATGGGTTGGTACTTTTGGTTGAGGTCTCGGGGGCCTCGGGTGAGTTTCGGGTGGTCGATCGGACCAATCTTGGCATTTTGGAGTTGCAGATTCTGCTGTCTTGATGTTGCAGAGTGTTTGTGCTTCGCGATCGCGGGTGTGGTGTCGCGATCGCGTAGAAGCAATTTGGGAGGCAGGAATTCTGTTCTCTGCATTTGCGTTTGAGTGTTCGCGATCGCGGAGTATTAGTTGGTGGTGTTTCGCGTTCGCACAAGGTATTTCGCGTTCGCGTATAAGAGTTTGGGGGTCCTGTGTTATTGCCCTTCGCGTTCGCGTATAATGTGACGCGTTCGCATAGCTTTGAGAATGGACAACATCGCGTTCTCAGGGCTCTTAACGCATTCGCGTAGAGTTATTTTGAGAGGCCGGGTTTTTGTGCTTCGCGATCGCGGGACCTTGGTCGCTATCGCGTATAAGGAATTGCAGGAGCTGGGCAGTGAGTTTATAAACATTTCATCTGCGAGTTTAGTCATTTTTCCACCATTGTTGAGTATCTTGAGAGCTCTTTGGGAGAAATTGAAGAGGGATTCGAGGAGGATTGATTGGAGGTAAGTTCTATGAACCAAAACGTGATTATATTGTGAAATTAACCTAGAAATTCATGGAAATTTAACTAAAAGTGGAAGAACTAGGGCTTGGGATTTTGAGATTTTAAATTGGGATTTGAAAGGCCATTTGAGGTCGGATTTGAGAGTTTTTGATATGTATGGACTCGTGGAAGGATAAGGAATCCGTTGATGTGAAAATTTCTGAGTTTCGAGAAGTTGGCCCGGGGATCGGTTTTTGCTAATTTCGGGATTTTTGATATTTTTCGATTATTTTCGCTTGGGCTTTGTTCCCTTAGCATATTATGATGTATTCGTTCTGATTTTGGATAGATTTGACGCTCGTGGAGGCCGATTTAAGGGGCAAAGGCGTTGCGAGCTAGAGATTTCGCCGGTTCGAGGTGAGTAATGATTGTAAATGATATCCTGAGGGTTTGAAACCCCTGATTGCACATCGTAGTGCTATATTGAGGTGAGACACGCGCTGGATGATGAGTGTGGGGTCTTTTACTACTGGGGATTGTGACTTGGTCCGTCCCGATTGATGATTTTACCGCGTATTTGACTGAAACTTATTTGTTATCGCCATGATTTGGGCTGATTGCCATATTTGGGCTTCGTGCTAATTATTTGAACCCTTCGGGGATTTTTATCACTATTTCCTCACTATTTTGATCTATTACTTGAACTCAGTCCTGTTGATATCTACTGTTTTACAAACTCAGCCACTTTTACTCATATTTGAAACTTAAATGATATTTCTAAATGATGCTTTGGGCTGAGAACTACTATTTTACTAATGCCCGAGGGGCTTGTGATGACTTTCGGACTGAGTGAGGCCGAGGGCCATATGTGAGGATATGCTGAGTGATATGAGGCCGAGGGACTGAGATACATTTATATGCCACGAAGTGGCTTGAGTGATGTGAGGCCGAGTGCCGAGTGATGTGATGCCGAGTGCCGAGTGATGAGGCCATGAGGTGGATTGATATAGCGCTTGGGTCGTTAGGGGCCCCTCCGGAGTCTGCACACCCACAGTGAGCGCGGGTACCCATTGTTCTGAGAGTGAGCCCGAGGGGCTGATACGAGTGACCGTGAGGTAGCCCGAGGGGCTGATACTATTCTGAGAGTGAGCCCGAGGGGCTGATACGAGTGATGGTGAGGTAGCCCGAGGGGCTGGTACTGTTCTGAGATATTGCTCGAGGGGCAAGCTTTTATGTGTTCATCTTTTGTAGTTACTTGTCATTTTACCTGTTATACCGTGGTATTTGTGCCCGAGGGGCGAATTTTCTGTGCTTATCGGCACTAACTGTTTTGCAATCACTGCATAATCGTTGAAGAAGTCATTTTCAAAAGAGGTTTAAACTGAGCTAAGATATTTCTAAAGATTTCACAGCTTCATTGTTTTTTTTCTCAAAGGGTTTTACACTGCTCTGTACAGCATGATGGTTTGCCTTGCGTGATTTCTTACTACTCAGTTATTATTTTCCTTTATTACTCACTGAGTTGGAGTACTCACTTTATTCCCTGCACTTCGTGTGCAGATGCAGGTATTTATTCACCCGGTAGCGGGTTTTGGCTGATCGGAGGCTGAGATATAGGGTTTAGCGAGGTGACTGCCAGCGTTCGCAGCATCGTTTTTCTCCCTTTTGTTCATTATTCCTGTTAAGTGTACTTTTAGACCTTGTAGTTGTATTTACACTCTAATAGATGCTTGTGACTTGTGACACCCCGATTAGGGCTGTGTTGGGTTGTACTTGCGCTAATTAATGTCATTAAATCATATTTAAACTGCTTATGAACTGTTTAATTTCTTATAAGAGGTGTTCGGTAATGGTCTGGCTGGCCTTGTCTTCACGAGAGGCGCCATCACGACCGGAGCGGGGTTTGGGTCATGACAATAAAATTATAATTTACCCGTGAAATTAATAAAATGCCTATAATTGAATATAAGTGGATAAATTAATTTTCACTATTGCTAGAACTTAAGGATTTACCCAAAGATGGATCCATTATTCTATAAATAGTGAATATGATGAGGTAAATTAATATTCTTTAATCAAATATATATTGTCTGTCCAAAGATTTCATATATATTTGGTTAAAATATTCAATTGCTTATTAAAGACTAAATGGTATTTAACTTATGATAGTGTGTCGTAGTATTTACCCAAAGGAGAACTGCGAGATGCTTTAACTATTTTGCTGTATCCATACTGATTTGTGAGCATGTATTATCTATTTTGCAGCTATTCCTCTTCATTCGAATGCTTCATCTATTACTATGTTCAATGGATTGAATTTCTCTAAATGGCATGAACAAGTCCAGTTCCACTTAGGTGTGATGGATCTTGACTTGGCTCTGCTGAATGATAAGCCCGCTGCCATTACTGAATCGAGCAGTGCGTATGAGAAGTCTTTCCATAAAGCATGGGAATGCTCTAACAGGATGAGCCTTATGTTTATGCGAATGATTATTGCCAACAATATTAAGAGTACTATTCCACAAACAGAAAGTTCCAGGGAATACCTTAAGTTTGTGGAAGAACGTTTTTGTGTCGCAGATAAGTCTCTCGCTGGTACACTAATGGTTGAACTCACGACCATGAAGTTTGATGGGTCGCATAGTATGCAAAATCATATCATCGAGATGACTAACATTGCAGCAAGACTTCAGACCTTGGGGATGAAAGTTGATGACTCCTTGGTTCAGTTTATTCTGAACTTGTTGCCTCGTGAGTATGGACCTTTTCAAATTAACTATAACACTAATAAGGATAAGTGGAATATTAGTGAATTGTCCAGTATGCTTACCCAGTAGGAGTTAAAACTTATGAAACAAGGGAGTCATTCAATTAACCTCATGGGTCAAGGAGCTGGTAAAGGACTTAAAGTGAAGGCCAACAAGTGCAAGAAGAAGAAAGCACCTGCTAAATCTCCACAGGATGCTAACAAGGAACATAAGGCAGACACATGTCGTTTCTGTGACAAGGAAGGACACTATCAGAAAGATTGCCTGAAACATAAAGCTTGGTTCGAAAAGAAAGGTACAGTTAGTGCTTTTGTATGTTTCGAATCAAAATTAGTAGAAGTTCCTAATAATACTTGTTGGCTTGATTCTGGTGCAACTTATCTACTACGTTGCAGGGATTCCTTATGATCCAAACTACAAAACCAAATAAGGATCTTTTGTTCATGGAAAATCGCATGAAGGCTCCAATTGAAGGCATAGGGACTTATCGTTTGATCATGGAGACTGGATGTCACCTTGATCTATTATAGACTCCTTATGTATCTTCAGTTTCTAAGAATTTGATTTCTCTTTCAAGACTTGATGTTTCTGGATTTGATTCAAAGTTTGGAAATGAATTTATATAAGAATGCTGTTTTTTATGGTTCTGATAGTCTTAGTGATTGTTTATATAAATTGAAACTCGATATTGGTTTTTCTGAATCCCTTCTTCCTGTTCAACATAATGTTGGAATTAAACGTAGTTCACTAGATGAATGTTCTACTTACTTGTGGCATAGACGTTTGGGTCATATATCCAAAGAAAGGTTAGAAAGATTAGTAAAGAATGAGATTCTTCCAAATCTAAATTTTACTGATCTTAATCTATGTTTGGATTGCTTAAGAGAAAGGAAACCAAGCATAGTAAGAAAGGTGCCACAAGAAGCACCCAGCTTTTTGAAATTATACACATTGATATTTGTGGACCCTTTGATGTTCCATATTTTGGTTGAGAAAAATATTTTATCACTTTTATCGATGACTTTTCACGTTATGGATACATCTATTTGCTGAAAGAAAAATCGCAAGCAACAGATGCTCTTAAAGTGTTTGTTAATGAGGTTGAAAGGCAATTAGATAAAAAGATAAAAATTATTAGGTCAGATAGAGGTAGTGAATATTATGAAAAATATAATGAATCAGGACAATGTCCAGGTCCATTTGTAAAGTTACTCGAGGAACGTGGCATATGTGCACAATATACTATGCCAAGAACACCTCAACAAAATAGTGTTGCAGAACGGCGTAATTGAACATTTATGGATATGGTTAGGAGCATGATGAGTAATTCCTCATCACCCAAATCATTGTGGATGCATGCTCTTAAAACCGTTGTATATTTATTAAACAGGGTTCCTAGTAAGGCAGTTCCAAAGACTTCTTTTGGACCGTGGACAGGAAGGAAACCTAGTTTAAGGCACCTGCATGTTTGGGGTTGCCCAGCGGAAGCTAGAGTTTATAATCCACAAGAAAAGAAATTAGATTCTCGAACAGTAAGTGGTTACTTTATTGGTTACCCAGAGAAATCTAAAGGATATGTGTTTTACTGTCCAAACCATAGTTTGAGAATTGTTGAAACCGATAATGCAAGATTCATCGAAAATAGTGAAGTTAGTGGGAGTGTTGAAAAATAAAGTGTGGAAACAAAAGAGGTGAGGGTCAAGATTCCATTACCCACGAATGTGCCTACTTCCACACAAATACCAAATATTGTTCCAGTTGTTGCAGAACACTTTGACAACACCGAGAAACATTTGGATGAAATACTTCATGAAGAAACTAACTCATAAATATCTGACACAAATGAACCACAAGAAATGCCATTAAGAAAATCTCAAAGAATTAGAAAATATGCCTTTCCAGATGATTATGTGGTTTATTTGCAAGAGTCAGATTGTGACATTAGTCTTAATAAAGATCCGGTTTCATTTTCACAAGCCATGAAAGTAATGAGTCTGACAAATGGATTGATGCCATGAAGGAAGAGTTAAAATCCATGGAATACAATAAAGTCTGGGATCTCGTTGAATTGCCAGGAAGTTCTAAGAGAATCGGGTGTAGATGGGTCTTTAAGACCAAAGACAATTCAAATGGCAATATTGAACGATATAAAGCCAAACTTGTTGCCAAGGGTTACACTAGAAAGGAGGCATTGATTATAAAGAGATCTTTTTGCCGGTCTCAAAGAAAGACTCAATAAAAATTATCATGGCTTTGGTGGCTCTTTATGATTTAGAGTTACACCAAATGGATGTGAAACTACCTTTCTTAATAGAGACCTCGAGGAGGAAGTTTATATGGACCAACCAGAGGGTTTCAAAACTAAAGAAAAAGGTCAAATGGTGTGTGAACTAAAGAAGTCAATATATGGACTCAAACAAGCCTCACGACAATGGTATATAAAGTTCAATGATACCGTAACATCTTTTGGATTTATGGAAAATACGGTGTATATACCAGAAGATCAGTAGGAGCAAGTTTATATTCTTAGTCCTATATGTTGACGACATTCTACTTGCTGCTAATTATTTAGGCATATTGCATGAGACTAAAGATTTTCTCTTTAAGAATTTTGAAATGAAAGATATGGGTGAGGCATCCTATGTGATAGGAATAGAAATATTCCGTGATAGATCACAAGGATTATTGGGATTGTCTCAGAAAGGCTATATCGAAAGAGTTCTAGAGAGATTTAACATGAACAATTGTTCGGCAGGAATTGTTTCAATTAATAAAGGGGGAAAATTTAGTCTCATGCAATGCCCTAAGAATGATGTAGAAGGAAAGGAAATGGAATCAGCTCCTTACTCTTCTATTATTAGTAGTCTGATGTATGCTCATACTTGCACAAGAACGAATATTAGTTTTGCGGTCAAAATGCTAGGAAGATATCAGAGTAACCCAAGAATTGATTACTGGAAAGCTTGTCACGGCCCGAAATTCCCACCTTCGGGATCGTGATGGCGCCTAACATTTCACTTTCTAGGCAAGCCAACGTTAGACAATTCACAAATCAACTTCAGCCAATTTAACAACAGAAATTAATTAAGCAAAACAGAAGCTAAACAGAATTTGTGGAATACTATAAAACCCAAAGTAACTGAAACATTTAGGATCTGGATTCACAACTCACGAGCTACTACGATTTACTACAAATAGAGTTTGAAAGATAATACACTGTTCTAAAAGAAAGGAATAGTAAAATAACAAGTCTAAGAAGAGACTCCAGGGTCTGCGGACCCCAGCAGATCTACCTTGTCTCCTGTCGATCAAGTCCAGCTGCTAAACTTGGGGTCAACTCAGCCAGTACCAAAATCTGCACAGAAAGTGCAGAGTGCAGTATCAGTACAACCGACCCCATGTACTGGTAAGTGCCGAGCCTAACCTTGGCGAAGTAGTGACGAGTCTAGGACAAGACACATACATAAACCTATGCAGTTAATCAGTATACGAGCACTATAACAACTAATATAAGCTAAATAGATAATAAAGGGAGGGGAAACATGCTGAGGGATTACAAGACAACGAATCACAGCAGTAGAGAAATTTAAACAGCTAGTACACCTTGAACCAGTAACAACAAATAAATACCGTAACGAAAAATGCACGGCATCACCCTTCGTGCTTTTACTCTCAACCTCACTAGATAATAAATAGAAACGGCACGACATCACCCTTCATGCTTTTACTCTCAACCTCACCATATAAATCAAATAAGAATGGCATGGCATCACCCTTCGTGCTTTTACTCTCATCCTCACCATATACAAATAAGGATGGCACGACATCACCCTTTGAGCATTAACACTCTCCCACACTAAAACAAGGAAAAATAATAATAGGGAGATAGAAATGACACCAACAAGTCTTACTTCAACAATTACTTCCACAATATCAACCTCGACTCTGAGTCAATACTCAATCAATACCAAAATTCGTACATATGATAAGAACCATCAACATAACAATAAACTAGTCTAAGCATGGATTATACGATCAAGGAAAGCTACAGTTTTATGAATAAGACTCACTAGCATGCTATGACTCAACAACAACGCATAGGTACTCGTCACCTCACCTATACGTTGTACTCAACATTCAAACACGTAGCAAATAGGCAAATAAGACCTAATCCCTCATGCCAAGGTTAACCACGGCACTTACCTCGCTCCGTGGGCCACTCAATGCTCAATTACCGCTTTTCCTCTAGTATTCACCTCCAAACCACTCGTATCTAGCCACAATTAACTCAATAACATCAATTACTGCTAAGGGAATCAACTACAATGCATGAATTTAGATTTCTCAAACTTTCCCTTAAAAAGTCAAAAATTGACCCCGGGCTCGCTTGGTCAAAACCCGAGGTTCGGACCAAAATCCATTTACCCATTCACCCTCGAGCCCAGATATACAATTGGTTTTGGAATCCGACCTCAAATCGAGGTCTAAATCCCCAATTTGCAAAAATTCCCAATTTTTCCTAAATCCCTAGTTTTCTACCATGGAAGAACAAAGATTAGGGCTAGGAATTCAGTGGGTGATGTTAGAAATGGAAGAAAATGAGTTAAAGAGTACAAACCTATGATTTGGTGGTGAATCCTCTCTTCAAAATCGCTCCTAGGTCGAGTTCTAATGAAAGAGTTGTGAAATTTTTGAGAATTCCCGATTCTGGTCTGTTTTAAATCACTGGCGTCAGACCTTCTTCACGTTCGCGAAGGGTCTGCCGCGATCGCGAAGCAGCGGCTCAATTAGCCTACGCGTTTGCGAAGGCTTATTCCCACAAGCCTACGCGTTTGCGAAGAGTATTGGTCACTTCCCCTCCCCCAGGTCCCATGCCTACGTGTTCGCGAGAGACTGATCGCGTTCGTGAAGGGTAACGCTGCTAGTCCTTCGTGTTTGCAAAGAAGAAAATACCCCTGCCCCCATTTTACACACCAAATATCAGCTGAAGCCAAAAAAACCCAGATTTTCTAAGTTCTAAACACCCCGTAGCCTATCCGAAACTCACCCGAGCCCTCGGAGCACCAAAC